GGGCTAAGTGGTAACTTTGTGGTGTTTTCCACTTAGCCGGTAGAAACTAAAGACCCTGCTCATATTCATCGAATGAATGCCAATCATTTATAGGAAATTGTGCTTTAGTTCAAGAGATCCTGTGAAGTATTTATTTACAGTTCTCAGTAAAACTGACAAACTGATTGGGTTCTGAATTACATTTTATATGTAAAATAAAAGTATGGTTAAGGGGAAACCGGTAACATTTTTCATTTGGAGACTTAATACATTTTGCCGGTATAGAGAGTAACAGCACAATAGTTCAGCATCAGGTTATTCCAGCTAGTGGTCAAAATCCACAAAAAAAGTTGGACCCAAAGTCAAAAGGGAAACAAAGTAGCTATGTATGAATATGCGTGTACACAAAAAGTAAAGGCAGAAAAAATGGGAGTAAATATTGGTGAAACAATTAGTTGGTAGGAAAAAGAAAAAAAGGGAGGAGAGGGAAGCTAGATGTAAGTGCAGTATAAAAAAGGAGAAACAAATGAAAGAGCAAGCAGATTTGTTAAAGGTTCCAAGGGGGAGAAAAAGGAGGAGGTATTAAAAGGAGGAGGAGGAGGGGAAACAAGAACAAACTAGTTACCATCACCTCTGCCCTAACTTATCTCTCTGATCATCTTTTGCTCTTCTTTAAAGCATCCTCTTCCATGTGGTAGCCAATGACCTTTTCGGGAACAAATCCGATAAAGTTAACTCCATTTTCATCTTGTACCACTCTCCTTGCCAACACCATACTGTCCTTTTAGTTCCCTAAACATGCCACGCTCTATTTTATTTCCTCAGCTTGGAAATGCCTTCCCACCTTTCCTTCTACTCACCCTTCAAAATGCCCCAATTACATTAAATTCTTGTTATTATGAATAATTTCTTTTGTTGTACCTGACAGTTGTAATTCTACATTTACAAGTGTGATTATTTGACCACTGACTCTTCTCACTCAACTGGAAGAGAGAAACCACTTTTTCCCCTTCATCACTATGCCTCTCAGCATAGTACCTATTAACACTGCATTTCCTCAAGGAATACCTGGTGAATGAATGAAGGAAAAGAGAATCCTGCCATGCCATTATCACAAGTAGAAAGGGTATAAAACAACCTTAAGTGAACAGAAGAGAAAGAAACAAAGAGAGAGAAAAAATTCAAAACAAATTGTGGCCTAATTAAATTCTAACAATTTCAGTGTGATATTATACTAAAAAATTAAGTACAATAGTAACCAGTAGCTCTCCTTTTTCCTTATGAAGTCAGAAAAGGAAACAAAACTAACATTTTACTTCATTATAAGGAAATAAAACAGTCTCATTAGTCTAGAGGTAGGATTTTCACTTTGGAAATAAACATAATTTAGAACATGACTGACAAATAGGCATCTCAAACTTAATTTAACCAAAGCAGAACTATTAACTTCTCATTCCTCTACGACCAGTCTCATCCATATCAGTAAATGGAATTAACACCCAATACCTCCAACCAAAACCCTGGGGGTCATCTATGATCCCTCCCATTCTCTGGTCCTCAATACACAATTTATCAAGAAGCCCTGTAAGCTTCTACATCCAAACAGATCTTCAATCTATCCACTCTTCCAATCTCCAATGCTACCATTCTAATCCAAAATCGTCTTTTGGTTTTACTGAAGTAGAATTAACATACAATGTTATATTAGTTTCAGGTGTGCAACATATTGATTTAACAATTCTGTACATTACTCAATGCTCACCACTTTAAGGGTAGTCACCATCTGTTACCACAAAACATTATTACAGTATTACTGACTATATTCCCTATGCTCTACTTTACACTTCTATGGATTATTTTATAACTGGATTTTGTACCTCTTAACATCCTGTATTTATCTACTCTAACCCCTCATTTTAAACTACTCCAATATTCTTTTTTTTTTAATGTTTTATTTATTTTTGAGAGGGAGGGAGAGAGAGAGAGAGAGAGACCGCGTGAGCAGAGGAGGGTCACAGAGGAAGGGAGACACAGAATCCAAAGACAGGCTCCAGGCTCTGAGCTGCCAGCACAGAGCCCAACGCGGGGCTGGAACCCACAAACTGTGAGATCATGACCTGAGCCGAAGTCAGACACTTAACCAACTGAGCCACCCAGGCGCCCCTAAACTACTCCAATATTGTAACTCATGTCTCTGCTTCTACTATTCCTCTTCTCTAATTCATTCTACACAAAGTGACTTTTTAAAAAGATAAAATCATGGTGCCACTCCTTGGCGCCAAACTCTTTAATGACTTCCAACTTCTTACAATAAAATAAAAATACATCATCTTGCATATTAGATCTGCTGCCTCCCTATCATTCTCTCCTTTCCTTGCTACATTTCAGCCATAATGACCTTTTTGTTTCACAGATGGAACCACATATCATCTCAAAACTTTACAGGCATCACCCTCTTTGCCATACTCTGAAGTGTCTCATGGTTAAGATGTTACCTTAACTCAGGTGTCACCTCCTCAGGAGGGCCTTTATAAAAAGCAGTTTATATAAAGTGGCTTTTCCACTCCTTTATTGCTCTGTATATTCCTGTCTCTTTCACACTATCATCTTGTTTATTTCATTAACAACAAATTGTTTCGAGAGTAAGAAATACAGTGGTGAAAAAACAAAGTCACTATTTTCATGGAGCTTATATTTTAGTAAGATTGAAAAAAATTATCAAGTGATAAGTGTTATTATGAAAAATAAAACATAATAAGGGAATACCATGGGTTTGAATATGTGGCAGCAGGACATTTTAAGTAGGTCATCAGGTCTGAGCAGACCTGAATAAAGTGAAAAAGGAAACTATGTGAAAACCATGGAGTAAAATTATTCTAGGGGTGCATGGGTGGGCTCAGTTGGTTAAGTGTCGGACTTCAGCTCGTCATGATCTTAATTTCATGGGTTCAAGCCCTGTGTCATGCTCTGTGCTGACAACTCAAAGCCTAGAGCCTGCTTCGGATTCTGGGTCTCCCTATCTCTCTGCTCTTCCCCTGTGCAGGTTCTGTCTCTCTCTCTCTCTCTCTCAAAAATAAACAAACATTAAAATTTTTAATTATTCTAAACAGATTTTTACTGATTTATTAACTCAGTACAATATATGAAAATGAGATATGAGAAACTGAAATCCTTGCTTTCTTTCATGCTCATATTCTAAACAAGTTATGATTTGCTTTCCTTATGAGTGCTGCAGACAAGGTGAAACTCAAATTTATTCTAACTGTACATTCAGAGAACCTTATGTTAGATCCAACTAAAAGTGATAGTTTGAAATTCACAATCAGCCCAATATTTGTTGGCTTTATTTACGCTCTTTCCTTCCCCTCTATGTTCATCTAGTTAGAACTTAAACTGAATCAGAAGCCTGTGGAAGTCCAAGAGTTACCAAAGTACAAAAATATAATCAATCATCTGTATACTGAATGAACTAAGCATCAGTAACAGTAAGCCATCTTTGGAGGTTCCAATATCAAAACAAAAAATAACAGCACACAACACCACCTGTAACACAAGCTGCACCATTCTTGGCCTCTAATAGGTATCTATTCTGCCCAAACAAGAATGGAGGTAGAACAGAGGTAATAATGAATGAAAGAAAAACTTAAAAGCTTTCCACATCTTCTTACTAGCAATCTCATACAAAACTCTCATCACTTTTAAATAAAGGCTGGCTTGCATAGCTATGTAAGTTTTTTTTTGTTTTTGTTTTGCTTTGCTATACTTAAGGAAGAATTAAGAAAAGATTTCTGTCCCTATCCACCTCTATTAGGCCCTATTTGTTCATTAGAGTAATACTAAGGAGCTACTGTAGTCCAGGCACTGTGGTTCCAGGTGCTGTTAATAAAATCGTAAACAAGTCAATATCTAGCCCTCTACACCCTCTTATAGAATACCTATACCACAGTTAATATATATTTTCTTAATTGAGAAACTTTTCTAATCAATTATTTTTTTAAAAAAGATTGCTTATCTTGTATATGAAAATCACCTTTTTGTTAAATCATCCCGAGTGGTTGATTTTTTTTTTTAACAATTACCGCACAGTAGGCTCATTTTTCTTAAGATATTTAATAAACACTTTATATTTAATTTGGGGTAAACATTGAACCCATACTCAAACTGAGCGATGCGAACACTCAAGTTCCTGGTCCACAATCACAGTGAATGTCCGTATTTTGAGGGTCCTTATTTATATGGGCAAAGAACCAATATTGTTACCCATTACCACCATTCCCAACAATAACATACAGCTTTTCTTAAGACTTAGTCCACTTAGAACAAATGTCTAACTTTCCCTCACAAGTGAATAAAAACGGAACCACTCAAACTTTGTTAGCTCTGGTGACCATCCCCAAATTGACAGTGTGTATATCTCGTTCTATATTTTCAGATAAATTATGTTATAAAACATCTTTAGCTAAACATTTCGTAAGAACATCAGATATGGCCAGACTTAATCTGAACCCTGGCTGCAAAAGGAAGCCTGGAGCTCTGCGAAACAGAAAGAGCAGAGGCTATATAATAAACCTACCCAAGTAAAACCACCGATCCCCTCCCTACTTAGATTGGCCCCCAATTTCACCCAATTTAGCAATCTGAAACTTTCCATGAACACCAAACAAGATCTGATCGCCATCCGCTCTCATCCTTAGGCCACCATCAAAAAATTTAAAATGTCAAAGACGCAACGCATGCACTCTCAAAGGACACCCACTAACTGCAGCTCGCAGCTGTATCCACCGGCGCCCTCTCGGCCTTGTCCGCCCCCAGCCGAGCTCCGCGCACCGGCAGACTCGAACCCAGCGCGCTCGCAGCACATTCCCTCCCCGCCATCTCCCGGGCAGCCCCCGCCCCCCTCCAGTACTTCTGCCGCCCCCCCAAACCCACCCTGTGCGAATAACTGAATATCCGCAGACCAGGGGGCCACACTTTCCTGCATTTCCCCACCCCACCCCCTGCAAGGGCAGAAATAGGTGTACCTTCCAGAAAAGTAATCTCCCCTGCGCTGCCGCCGCTCTTGCCAGCCGCCATCTTCCTCCTCCCACGCCGCCTCCTTCTTAATCCATGGCCCACACCACCGCCGCGCTCGCCGGGATGAGGGGCCGCGCCGCAGGAGGGTAGCCGCCGCAGGGTTGCGGGCCTGGAACTCGGCCGTCAAGGGGGCGGCGCTCCCACGGCCAGATGGGCCTACACAAAAGCAGGCCAGGCGCTCCCGGGCCTATCCGCGGGCTGGCGGGTGGCAAGGCCCGCGGCCTGGACTTCTCCTCAGGCCCCGTTGGGGGAACGCGAGCGGCGGCGGCGGCGACGGCGCTTCCCGGGCCCGGTTCCTCTCGGCCCACGACTCCCCATCCACCGCCTACCCAGGCCGCCTGAGACGCTTTCTCCAGCCGCGGGCCCCAGGAAGAGAGGTTGAAGGCGAGCGCACACACACACCTCCCTTCGTCCCGGGCCGTAAAATGGCCGCAGCCGCCGCGCCGGGGCGGCGAGGTCTCCGCGACCGTCAGGCGCCCCCAGGCCTTTCGCTCCCTCTGCAGCCGCCGCCGCCGCTACGGCCGTCCGCCCACCCCGCCCAGGCGTGAATGCATCAGCGGAGGCCTTTGCGACTGTCCATGTGGACAGGGGTGGGTCTCCTCTGCCACCGCCTCGCGTCCGTCGCCACAGCAGCTCCAGCCGCCGCCGCTGCCGCTCCTCCCCCACGGGCGCTGGAGCGGCCGCCTGGCTCCCGCCCCCACCCCGACGCCGCCGCCCCCAGCGCCGCTCCCCCTCAAGAGCCCGGGCTCGGCTCGCGGGCAGAGCGGTCTGCGGCGCCGCACGGAGCACCGACTCGAGGCTGCCGACGCCGTGGCTCTCGGGAGAGCCGGCCCTGCGCGGCGCCGACTCGGCCGGGACACGTTTCGTCCAGAATCTCCACCGCCGAGCGCCCCATGGCAGACCTGGTGTGTGAGCGCCTCTAAGCCAGGCTGGTGATGAGTTTGGGTTCTGTGGCGCCAGTTGCCTAGAAAAAAAAATGTTAAAAGTTCTTTCCTTTGACGAGGCCTTAGAATTTAAACCATAGCCAAATGAAGAGGGAAGGTAGAGTGAAGTAGTGCAATCACATGTTTACAAAATGATTTGTGGTCTTCATTTCAGAAGAAGCTTTCAAAATAATTTATCAATGAAGATTCTACAGTACATTTTGGATGACAATGTAAAAAAAAAATCCTGTCCTATGGGCCTGAGACTTCAAAAACCATACACTGCCTTACAAGCCAGGCATTATAATTAATTGTAGATTAGTACACCATGTTTAATTTATTTTTACTTTTTCTTTGGCTTTTTAAAATTCTAGAAGTAAGACATTTATTAATGAAAGTCTGGAATACAGGAAAGGAAAGAAGTTATACATAGCTCCACCACCAAAACTCAATTTTTAGGTGTGTAGTCTTCTAAGCGAACATTTTTCTTAACTCCCTCACTATTCCTCTAAAAAACGAAAATTTCTGCTATGTATCGTTGAAAATTCAACAGCCACTAAAATGATGCAGAAAAGGTATGATTAAAGTGCAATCTTTGAGGAATGAACTGCTCTAATTAGTTTAATTGTCCTGTTAGCCAAGGCATAGGCAGAAAATCTTTTCCTTTAAAACTTCTTTTAAAATCTTATCCTAACATGAATAATCTTTCCTGATTTAGTAAAAGTAAATATAATGAATATTACTTATTTGTTGTTTTTGTTGCTTGAGGATTTTCAATGATCCAGTTGAGATGCTCTATGACATAAAGAGCGTGTGCCAGTGACAGTATAATACTGAGGTGTGTAAATAACAGGTAGATGTGGGTGACTGGACTCATTTGTACAGACTCCAAAATGCAGTTTTAGAAGATAATCTCTGATTTAAAAATGATGCATACTGGCTTTGAAAATGAAAAAAGGTGCAGGAAGTCAAGGAATGTGGGTGGCCTCTGGAAGCCAGAAAAAGCAAGGACACGGATTCTCTGTTACAGCTTCCAGAAAGCAAAATGAACACTTGATTTTAACTCAGTGAAACAAAATGTCAGACCTCTGACCTTACAAAACTTAAGATAATAAATTTTTGTAAAGTTGCTAAATTAATGGTACTTTGTTGCAGCAGCCGCAGAACACTAATAATATACATCAGTGGAAAACAAGGTGGAGTTACATAAAAGACATCTTTTGAGCAGTCTGAGGTAGGATCTTTAAGACATAGTTCATTGTTTTGTGTTATGAATTTTAGCTATTCTCTATGGGAACATATAATTCCAACATTTAAAATGTGGCATCAAAATCACTTGGAAAGGCTTGTTAAAACAGATTGTTCTACCCCACCCCTAGAGTTTCTGATTCGGTGGGTATGGAGTGCACCTGAAAATTTGCATTTTTAATAAGTTCCCAAGGTGTTACAGCATTGCTGCCAAATAGGGGACCACATTATGAAAACCACTAGATTAAACAATCTCTAAATTCCTTTCCTTTCAGCTTAATTCCATGAGTCTGCAATTATTAGTGAAATGATCAGTTTCCATATTAAAGTATAAGATTAAAGATATTTGCAGAAATCACTACTCTTCCTGTGAACATTTTCTTTTTTTTCTATTATTATTATTTTTTAAATAGTTTATTGTCAAATTAGTTTCCACATAACACCCAGTGCTCATCCCCACAAGTGCCCTCCTCCATGCCCATCTCCCCCCTCCCACCAACATCCATCAGTCCTCAGTTTTTTTGTCAGCATTCAAGAGTCTCTCATGGTTTGCCTCTCTCCCTTTCCCCCACCATTTCCCCCCTTCTTCTCCCCCTTGTTCCTCCGTCAAGTTCCTCCTAATCCTCCCCTGTGAACATTTTCAATTAAAAAACTTATAGAATCATGTGACCCTTTAGGTATTCTGGCCTAGAAAAGTTCAGATTGAGGACATGTCCTCGGAAATATAGATATATTTAGTATATGTGTAAGTATATATTTAATATATTTACAAATGTAGCCCTTTTTTTATGTGTACATTTTGAATGACACCCAGGGATGTTACTGAGAATGCTTTTAAATGTTAGAAAGACAAAATGTTAGAATTATAAATCCAATTATCTGAGTTATTTAGTCAGTTTTTATTACAAGTCTAGCCTGTTTTTACTGCTTAAATTTACCAAATTCTATTGGATTTGCTAACTTGTCATATTTAATACAGTGTAATTATGGCATAGAAGATAAATATAATAGAGAAAAATTAGACTAAAGTTTGAATGTATGTATAATTACAATAGATAAAATAAGTTACTTTGTTTTTCTAATTATTCCATTAAAGAAAATTTGGAAAAAAGGAAAAACGAAGCAGAGACCTGCCACCCAAAATTCTGATTCTAATTCTAATGCCCTCTCTTCTCTAATAGCCTTTTACTCACTTGGTCTGGTCATTCAGTACCAAGTTTAAACCCTGGACCTGGTCTTCTGAACTCAGTAATGCAAACATCCCATCTCCATCCACAATGGCCAGTTGACCAAAGGACCGACATCTGCAAGGCTTCCCAATCATCCTACGCAAACAGAATTCAGAGGAAACAGGGTGGAGACTGACTGCAGGATCTTTTGGAGGATCCAAGAGAATGAGACCCTCCCCAAAGCTTCTCTTCTGCTGAGATTCCTTTGCTTAATACATAGTATTGCCATCCACCAGTTTCACAAACTAGAAACCTAGGAATCACTCTAGACTTGCTTTTTTAATTAAATTTACATCATTGAATATATCTTGAGCTTTTTTTTAAGTTTATTTATTTTGAAAGAGACAGTACAAGTGGGGAAGGGTTAGAGAGAGGGAGAGAGAGAGAATCCCAAGCAGGCTCAGCACTGCCAGCGTGGAGCCCAGTGCAGGACTGAACCACAAAACCATGAGATCATGACCTGAGCCAAAACCAAGAGCCAGATGCTTAACCAACTGAGCCACCCATGCACCACATGTCCTTGAATATATCTTGAATCTATTCACATTTTTTCCAATTCCAATTAGTCTACCTTAGTCTTAGCCAGGATCACCTCTCAGCCATACTACTGTAATAACAGCTTGAAACAGACCATTCCATGGTCCCTCCTCTAATCCATTTGTCACACAAAAGCTATAATGATCTTAAAAAATAAAAAATCAGATCAAACCACTCAAAGGTTTCCTATTGCTCTTAGGATAAACTCCTAAATCTTTAATCCATCTACTGGGCCCTCCCTACCTACTTCACTGAGCCTCAACTTAACAGCATTTTCACCTTCTCGGTTAAGCTCCAACCATTTTGTACTTCTTTCAGTTCCACAAATGCTTCATCTTCTTTTCTACTTTAAAGCCTTTGAACATGTTTTATCCTCCATCTGCAATGGATTTTTTGTCTAAATAGAGACTTGCATCAGTAGGTTAATACATATCTGCTGAATAAAACAACACATTTAAAATAATCTTTGTCAAGGAAAATTCAGAATTGTAGAATTCTAGAACCTTGATTCCTTAGTAACCATCTAATTCAGTCTTCTCAGAAGTCCAGAAAATGTCTTTGTCCAAAGTAACATTGTGGTAGAAAGCTATGATAAATGCCCTAAAAAGGATCAGCAACCCACATATGAACCTAGGGCCTGGGTTTGAAGATTACAATGCTGAAAGAACTTGAGCTCTTTTGAGGAGGCCAGTAACTGACAGAAGGAAGACTTGAGTTGGTAATAGATACATAATAACAAAGCTTCCTCTTTGTATTTGGCTACAAAATCTTCTTCTGTATCACAGCTGTTATTTCCTCTATTTTAGCCAAATTTAAAATTCTTCATATAAACTATAGTTGACCCTTGACCAACATGGACATGGGTTTGAATTGCATGGTTCCACTTATACATGGAATTCTTTCAGTACACAGAACTATAAATGTATTTTCTCTTCCTTATGATATTAAATAGCATTTCCTTTTCTCTGGCTTATTTTATTGTAAGAATATAGTATGTAAGGGGCGCCTGGGTGGCTTAGTCGGTTAAGCATCCGACTTTCGCTTAGGTCATGATCTCGCGGTTCGTGGATTCAGGCCCCGCATCGGGCTCTGTGCTGGCTGCCAGCTCAGAGCCTGGAGCCTGTTTCGGTCTGTGACTCCCTCTCTCTCTGACCCTCCCCTGCTCACGCTGTCTCTCTCTCTCTCCTAGAAATAAATAAAACATTTAAAAAAAAAAGAATATAGTATGTAAAACATATACAAAATATGTGTTAATTGTGTTATCAGCAAGACTTTGGTCAACAGGTAAGTTTTAGTTATATGCAGATTTTTGATTGTGTGGGGGATTGGTTCCTTAGAATCAAGGACCCCTGATTTGTTCAAGAGTCAACTGTATTTGAATAAACTGATTCATAGTTTATGATGGTAGAGCTTAATAATTATTAAAAAATAATCCAGTTTTAATACATACATTTCTTTGAAAATGCAATTATCAATCTTGTTCCTTTAAACCTAAAAAGTACAACATAGGGGTGCCTGAGTAGCTCAGTCGGTTAAGCCTACAACTTTGCTCAAGTCATGATCTCATGGTTCATGAGTTTGAGCCCAGGTCAGGCTCTTTGCTGTCAGTGCAGAGCCATTTTGGATCCTCTGTCACCTTTTCTCTCTGTCCCTCATTTGCTCATTCTCTCTCTCTCTCTTTCAGAAATAAACATTAAAAAAAAAAAAAAGCATGGCATATAGTTAGTCCTTGACTAAATACAAGTTTCAGAAGACCATAGCAGATTCTGCAAATTATTTCTAGTTGATAGTTTTTGAAGGGCTAAGTGCATTTATGTCAGATAAATGAATATAATGAAATGAAAGTAATATATAAATTTCTGTTATAAGGATGTAAGTTTCTGTTTTTAACATAATTTCTACAATATAATATTCCACTTCACTTTCAACTTGTTTATTATCTTATTTTTGCTATTGTTTAATCCTACCATGCTTCATGCTCCTTTATTATTTTCAACTCTTTTAGCCCATGCTTTCTGTCCCTCTTCCATGTAGTAGATTTTTTCTAGAACTTCAGCAGGTAGTTCAGTGATTAAGTGAAGCTGAAACTAATATTTTTTAATGTCAATAAATATATCCTTAGAATAACAAATTTCTTGTAATGGTTCCTACCAGATACCTTTAGTATCAACATTTATGAATAAACAGTGAAGTTCTCAAGTGACTTTCCTACATCCTTGACACTTTTATTTTCATGGGTCCCTTCCACAAGAAGCACATTAAAACATTTTTAACTAGACTTACAGTACCATATATGAAGCTGTATTTTAAAAAAATTTTTAAGTTCATTTATATATTTTGGGGGAGGGGCTGAGAGAGAGGGAGAGAATTCCAAGCTGATAGCACAGAGCCCCATGTGGGTCTCGAACCCATGAATTGTGAGATCATAACCTGAGCAGAAATGAAGAGTCACACTCTCCACCAACTGAGCCATTTAGGCTCCCTGAAACTATATTTTTAATAAAAATGTTTAAGGTTAGCTTTTTTTTCCAAAACTGCTTTGGTCTAAAGAGACAATCCAGACTGGATTGTCATACATTTGTTATCATCATGTTAATTTTTTTCTTCTGATTTTAAAAGAAATAACATTAAAACATCTTTTCATAAGCCAAGTATCGTAGGCCACAGACACTGTGCTTCCTGTGCATAATGGATGTCAGCTGTGTAGATGACTGCTGGATCCTTTCATGTTCATTACTGGAAATTATCACATGAAAATTATATCTAGCTGAACTCTGAGGCAGTTGTTCTTAAACTTTAACATGCATAAGAATCAACTGGAGAACTTGTAAAACATTTTCCTGAGCCCCGTCTCAGACCATCTAATTCAGTAGGTCTGAGTGGGGCCCATAAATTTGCATTTCTAATAAGCTCAAAGGCAAGGGGATGTGCTGATCTGACAACCAGTTTAGGAACCAGTGCTTAGAATAATGTATCTAAATGTTTCATTTACACAAAGGCAGTGCTCTCAATATGATTTGCTAGGTATATTATCTACATCTCCTAATCAACATTTATTGACACATAGTAACAAAAACATCTATTGTTGTTTTTGTTTTAGAAGTGGAAACTGAGACCCAAAAGTTTGAAAACTTTTCCAAGATGATTCAGCTAGAAAAGTCTAAAGCTGGAACTTGAGCCCACATCCGTCTAGACTCTAAAGTTCATGCTCCCCTATATTCATTATCATATGGTAGTGATCCCAATGGTAAAGTATAATCATTGGCCTAGAAGCAAAATTTTAAACAAGAAATAATACATAAAAATGGTAGAGAAATATATTTATCTAGACCTTCACTGTTGTATTTGCCCTGTTAAAGACTGCTGATGGCCTTCTTTCTGGCTCTTTATTCCTCAGTTCTATCTCCAGTTAATAACAGCAAAAGAAATAAAGTAATGGCTTCCAACATAATTTTCTGAAAGTGCTATGCTGTAATGCTAACTTCCAACTAAAGCTGTTTGGGAGTTTTCATTTTTCATTAACTTCACTTTGCAATTTAAACTGCTTCATCTCTGAACAACTCAAACTTAAATCCCTGAAGCACCAAAAAAGTAAGAGTTAGCTTACACTCAGAGTTTTGAACTTTAAACACCTTCACCTTATGAGGTTCAAAATTTCATTTTATAACTAGCTTCCTCATTCATTTTCTTAGTATTCTCTCATTATAAACATAAACACATGACCTAATCACTTTATCTTTCTCCATCTACGTGTGTGTGTGTGTTTCTTACTGCTTTTCTTTCTTTGATTCTTATTCAAGAACATAGTCTAAAACAAATGTAGGCTATTTTCTTAGTTATATTTTTTAAGAAGATGCTTTGATGACCTCAAAGTTTACATACATTTGCCCCACCACCCTAGTGTAAAGGGGCATAGTGGTTTTCACCAATCACACAGACATAGTAAGTACAGAAAAATAGAAAGATAAAGAAATGATCAAATACATCATGGAGCATTCATTTAATGAAATGCTTTGCAGCTATTTAAACCAGTGAATTAGATGTTTGTACTGATCAGGAAAGTAGCCATGATTAATTTTTTAAAAATTATAGTTCATTTTCATAAAAATAAATTTATGAATATATACAGTAATCTGTGTAGCATAGGCTATTTCAGAGGAAAGGGGTTAGAGGGCTGACACGGAGGACTTTATCTTTGTTATGGAATTTTATAGATTTTGGATTATAGGTAACTTACTTTCTTAAGTTTTTTTCAGTATTTTCAAATAATTTCAAGCTAATAAATAAAGCTATGTTTTTTTAGATCTTTCTTGAGCCTTCAAAGTTTAACAGCATTGGGGCACCTGGGTGACTCAGTTGGTTAAAGACTCCGACCTCAGCAGGTCATGATCTCATGGTTCTTGAGTTCGAGTCCTGCATCTGACAGTACAGAGCCCACTCCAAATCCTCTGTCTCCCTCTCTCTCTACTCCTCCCTGACTTGCGCTCTCTACCTCTCAAAAATAAATAAACATTAAAAAAGTTCAACAGTATTATCTTACCATTTTCTTTTTTAAAAATGTCTTTTCTTGAAACAAAAATATGGTCATTGTGGACTTTCCCAGTTTATATTTATCCTCATCTGTCAGGCCTTTTCCCATCCTTAAAGTGTTTAAATTTTTAGTCATGAAAACCACACAAATTCAATAATCTTGAAACTGGGAAAACTAATTTATGTTTCAATTATGACAGTTCCAGATAATTGCAGTTGATTCTTTTATTTTCTA